TGATGATTGGCTCACAGCGGCCCCAGCAACATCTAGCTGATTGGCTCCTCTGCGGTGATGTTCATTGGGCTGTTTCCCTGCCCTTTCAGACCACGGAGCTGCTCATTGGGGGACTTCTTTGGCTCCGCCCATGCGACCCAGCCAATCGGCCTCAAGAGCAGGAGGATTGTGGGAGGTGGGGAGGCTGGTGTGGGTGAGAGGCTTGTGGAAGCCGGTGGTGGCAGTTGGGTTCTGAGGGTTTTTTCCTGAGGAGCTGTTTTGTTTGGCGTTTGTAGTTCTAAAAATAAAGTTAGTTTCTTTTGACAAGTGGCTCCTGAATTGTGCCCAGCCAGACTGCAGCACTCCTTTGCTCTGGAAGGGGCCTGTTCCTGAGCCCACATGTGCAGCCTGACTCCTGGTGGGCCACATGTGCCCCGGACTCTGTCCCCCACGTTATAGCGTGGGCTCCTGTCTTGCCCAGCCCTGCCTGGAAAGAAGGGAAGCCGAGGTTCCAGGGCTGGAGACTTCTCTGGGGGTTACTTGGCTTGTTAATGAGAAAATTGGAGCAAGAATTGAGTGTCCTGGCCATGGTCTGTCCCTGTCTCCTCCCAGCTGGTGTCCTCGGGCCATGGCTGATGCTGCCTACAGAAACATGCAGGCAGGCTGCTCAGCCACAGAGGTCGTACCACTCTCCCCAGGGAGGACAGACCCGGGTGGCCCAGCAGCTCAGCCCTGGTGGGAGGGCACCTTGCTGGTCCACGTGCCAGTCTGCTGTGGGGCCGCAGAGGAGGCTGCCTATAGATCCACAGTTATCACTAAGCAGCCGCATCTGCCGTGAGTTAATAGAAAGTGCTGTGTTTAGTTGACTTACAGGGTGGGGGGACTCTTACCTGCAGAGCCAGTGCGCTGCTGACACCCCTCGGCGCTGGAGAGGGGTGGAAGTCCCCACTTTGTCTGCCGTTGATGTCCCCGTCCTTCCTGGAGTTCCTGTCCATGGCCAGACTAAAGGTGTACGTCCTGCAGGAAGAAGACGGGTTACCTCAGAAGCCCACCCTGGCCGTGGATGTGCTCGAGTGTCACCACCTTGGCAGACAAGGTCACTGTGAGGACAAACCGAAGCAGCACGTGCCAAGTGGGGTGTTCTACGGCTGCTGGCCCCACCATGAGGGTTCACTTCATGTCCGCCTGGCCAGGACATGGCACCCAGATGTTGGCCAAAGGTTATTTTATATTTTTGAGATGGGGTCTTGCTGTGTGGTCCAGGCTGGTTTTGAACTCTGGGGTTCAAGAGCTCTTCCTGCTCAGCCTCCCAGGTAGCGGGCACGACAGGCTCATGCCAACATGCTCGGCTCTAATGTCAGGTAGCGGGCACGACAGGCTCATGCCAACATGCTCGGCTCTAATGTCAGGTAGCAGGCACGACAGGCTCATGCCAACATGCTTGGCTCTAATGTCAGGTAGCGGGCACGACAGGCTCATGCCAACATGCTCGGCTCTAATGTCAGGTAGCGGGCATGACAGGCTCATGCCAACATGCTCGGCTCTAATGTCAGTTCAAGTGTTGCTGTGAAGGTGCTCTCTAAATGAAATTCAACCCGAAATCACTAGACTCTGAGAAAAGTAATTACGAGCTCTGTAATGCAGGGAGACCCCACCCAGCCAGGTCTTGGAAGGAATCAGACGGGGGTGGGTCCCTGAGGAAGAGGGAGTGCCGCCCACAGACCATCTTTGGACTGGAGCTACAGCGCCAGCTCCTCCCTGAGCCTCTCGCCCTGCAGACTTCAGACTGGCCAGACCACAGTTTTGAGCCAGTTCCTTAAAATCTCTCCCCTTCTCTCTCACATCTGATTGCTTCTGCTTCTTTGGGGAACACAGACTATTTCTCTGGTTAATACACCATCCTCTTTGGTTCACCTTCTGAAACAGGTGTGCAGATGGGCATGGCTGGGGTGCAGGGACAGATGCACGGTGGGCAGGTGCCTTGAGAGCTATGGAAACATGGGAAAGAGGGGGTGCATTTCAATAGAGAAGTCGCAGGTGAAGAGGAAGTTGACTCACGTCCATTGAATCAAGAAAAGTGCCCTAGGGTGCACAGGCGTTGGGGAGCTCTGGGGAGGCTGGGGATGGACCCTAGCTGCCAGGGGAGGTGAGAACTCTGGCTTTGGCATTCAGGCCAGGGTGGAATGCAAAGCAGGTACGTCTGCAGGGAACCGGCAGTGGCTGGAAGAAAAGAGCAGGAGAGAGAGCCCAGGTCCCAGGAATCCTCCTCAGAGCAGCAGAAGATCCTCTCCCCAGGGAGGTCATCTTACAAATGCAAAGATCTCTCAAAGGAATCCACAGTCTCTGTGTGCAGGGGGGACGGTGTGCTGCTCGGCCTCTCTCCAACAGAGCCTCTGTGCCCTTCTCAGGGCTGCACAGGGTGTGAAAAGCCCTTCTCCACCAGTTCCTCCACCCACGTGTGTCCTCGCTTTCCGCCAACCCCAGCTCCGCTGGCTTCCTATTCCAGCAGAAGGACTCAGGATGTTTTGTTCCTTGTTATTATTAGAAAATATAATAAATTGAAAAAGAAGATAAAATATAATTTGCTGGCTCAGTTGATCACGGAATCTCACCCCATTTTCCACATCCAGCCAATTCTGATCTTTCATGATCAGATCCACTTTTTTGGGAAAAGGAGAGCTCGTGGTTGATTAGAAGGTGATGAGCATCATGGGGTAAGATGAACCAGGGGTGGCCAGGTGGGGGAGGTGGGGTAGCTGCCCCACAGAGCCCCTGGGTGCTGCAGGTGACATGGGAAATGGAGAGGGAGGAGACTGCAGGGCATGCAGGTGTGGGCCAGGGTCCAGGGAGAGGAGAGAGAGCCTGCGGGGGCACCCTGCTCCCCCGGAGGGCGTGGGGCACAGCAGAGGCCAGAGTGACTGAGCAGAGTGCGTGGGGACAGGAGAGAGCCCAGGTTCAGGCATCGGAACCCAGTTTGCTGTGGACTCTGTCGGGACCTCTCCTGCTGCCTCTGGGCTTCCCAAGCTCTCCCAGCCCAGGAATCAGAAGTACATGAGCTTTGACTGCCTTCCACATCCCAGACTCTGCCAGGGGTGGACTGTGAGACGGGGTGAGAGTGTGAAGCACCCACTGCTTCCTGGTTTCTGGGGTGTCCTTCCTCAGACGCGAACCTCCCAGGGAGTGGGAGTGCTCCTCTGCTCTTCTCTCGGTCCTGCTCCTCTGTGTTTACCTCCCCTAAGCCAGGATGCTGGTTCTCAAAGTCTTCTCAACTGCTCCATTCATTCTCCTAGCAGAATCTTTCCATTCCCTCAGAGAGGTTCCACAAAGTGACCTGTGGCGATTTTGCCTGAACTTCATTAAACCTGGAAATGACGGGAGGAGCTGGCACGTTCCTGCCTCCACTTTGCTCAGCCACGAATGCATGTGCTTGACTTGTTCAGCCTGGGAGTAATTGTCCACTTTCTCCCACAGACGCTCAGGTCCCCAGATCCCATAAACCCAGCAATGGCTCACCAGGCTTCCGTGCTGAGACCTGTCCAGGGCTGAAGTTGGCAGGCGTCACGTGCCCTACGTCTCAACCACGACTCAGGTGGGGCCCCAGGACCCAGCCCTGCAACGCTCCCTGCCCACATAGTGTTTTGAGTCAGTTCACGCGTTTCTTGTTTGCTTCAAGTTCTGCTCCCCTGCCCACGTCGCCATGGCTTTCACTGTCTGGATCTGCACATTCTATGGGAGGAGGCCAGGCCAAACGGATGGACCTGGTTCCCATGCACTCATACTGTCAGATACCAGCAGACGTCAGCTGATGGCCAGTGACCAAGAGTAGGCCTTGTGTTGGAGCCATGGACAGCTCCCTCTGCGAAAGGTCTCATATAAGACAGGAAATGTGGGCAGGGTTCTCTTCCTGAGGGCAAGGCCGGGGCACCCACACCCCCTTGCGGCTCACTATGCCAACAATGAAGCCTTGTTATCTACAAGTGACATCTGCAAAGTTTACAGTTGGAGACAAAATCGAACTTCTCTGCCATCTTTCAGATGAAATGCACTCAAGATGATGGTGATGGGAGGGGACAGAAGGGCCCAGCTTTGTGACATTTCTGTTTTTCTCTAACTCATGAGTCACTCAGTGGTTAATTACACATGGAAATAGCTGTGTCTACACTCCACAGCTCCAGTCTTCCCCTGTGTCCTTATGGGGCCGTCCTTCTGTGTCTGTGTCCTGATCTCTTCTGCTTCTAAGGACACAGTCCTGTGGGATTAGGGCCACCTAAACAGCCTTGTTTTAACTTATCACCTCTGGAAAGTCCCTGTCTCCAAATGAGGTCATATCTGAGGTCCCCGGGGGTCAGGACTCCAACAGATGAATTTAGGGGGACAACACTCACCCCAGGACAATTGCATTTTTCAGTCTGAACTACCTGCCCTCAATTCATGCTGTGGTTTTTGAAAAGTCACTTGGATGCCTCTGTCTTGTATGTTGGAAATGCTCTCATCTTGGCTGCAGGTCTCAACGGATCCCCCTGAGCTGGACCCTCACGCAGGCCTCTCTGCTCCCCATCCTCCTGCCCAGGTGGCTGGCAACTGCTGTGGTCAGGAGTGGTCCCCATCATGATGGCCTTGCACACAGCTTCTCACCTTCTCCAGAGCAGTGGGTGGACATCAGAGTGTGACTTTGTGGTTGCCAGTCAAAGAGCCCCAGGACCGCCCTGTGTAAAGGCTGGGTGGCCATACGGGTGCAGGGTGACTGCTGTATTAGCTGCCAAGTGTGAGCATCACGGCTGCAAACTTGGAGGGTCTGGAGAGCTGCAGTTCTTGCTGCTTGTATCACGCATGCCCAGTGTAGGTCCCGAGGCTGACACACACAGAGTTACCGCCATCCACCTGTCCACAGGCGAGCCAGCCTTCAGACACAGCATGGAACCAATTTCCCACTGCTTAAGACATCTGTGACATGTGCAGACACCCAAGGCCTGTATTTGATTGAAGAAGCCTTACGAGTCTAATAAGGACTTTCAGCCTTCTAGAAAGACTCAGCCGGCTAGTTCTCTGGCATCAGGGCCCAGGTCACATGTCACATTTGCCAGGTGTCTCATGGCTCCCTGAGTGGGGGTGGGGAGCTTGAATGACAGGCCCGTCAGACACCCCAGAGCACCCAGCCCAGAGCTGGCTTCTCTTCCTTTCATTGCAATTTTTGACATTGTAATTTTTCCTAAGAGAAACTCAGGCGTAAAAGCTGGACTGGTTACACTGGTGACAGGTCCCTGATATATCAATTGTGATGTGAAAAATGTGACACCCACGAGCTCATCTTCTGCAGTCTTTGCTGGGTCATTGCTGATTGCCTGGTGGCTCCTGGGTGGCAGTGAGCTCTTCTGGGCAGGTGGTGAAGGCTGTGGGCCGCAGGGCAGGCAAGGCTCCTGAGTCTAGATGGCCTGTGAGGGTGAGAGCATCTCTGCTCCTGCGATTCCGACGGTGACCCACTGGACCAGTCGGTTGGAGTGGAGACGAGCACTTTCTTAATGCTGCGGCATTTCTGGCCTGCTGCCTTGTCTGTCATCTTGGCTGTCATGCGGGGCAGGGGTTTGTACTGGGTCATCGCTAAGGTCCCCATGGACCAGCATCTTGTAGCTCCGAGGTGGCCCCCAGACCCAGGGATGTCGACATTAGCAGAGGGTGCTGTCTGCACCCACCCGTCGCATGTGTCTGTGACCGTTTGCTGTGACGGTTGTTGAAGGAGTGTCCCCTCCACCTGGAGGCGGGAGAACTCGAAGCTCAGCTCTCTCAGGGTGCCTCCCTCCCCTGTTCTTTCTTTCTAGCTCTAGGGCTGGAAGGCAGGTCTCCCGCATGCAGGGTGAGCCCTCTGCTGCTGAGCTGGGCCTCCTCAGCCCCAGGTTTCTTAGAGTTCTGTTAGTTATGCACAGGTTCTCTTTAAAGTATTTCCAACAGCTTCTCCAGTAGAATGGCCGTTTTCATAGCTCTGACTTGGAATGAGCCTCCGTGGGAAGAGGTACAGAAGAAGTTCCCTGGGGGTATTGAGGCTAGATAAAATCTGTCCATGGAAAGGGCCTCGCATGGATCTGAAAAGCTGTGGACTGAGTCGACTGTGAACAGAGCTGTGCTCAGTCCGTGGTTTCCGCATTGGTGTGGAAACCCAGGCAGAGAATGAAGTAGTGCAATCCTTCAGGGCGACCTCCTGGAGGCAGCGGATGGGCACCTGGGTGATTTCCTAGGCCCTTCCCCAGCCTCTCAGTTCTGAAAGTGCCAGGAAGCCCCAGACCACACAAAAGGCTTTTCTAGACCTTTCCCCTGCCCACCCCCTCTAGGTCTTCTACCAGTCTCCTTGAAACCGCCTGACTCCGCCCCCACATGTGCCCGCCTTGAGGGTGGGCGGCCTCCCCCCTTTCTCCCCTCCTCTCTTCTTCTGCCCGTTCCTCCACTCTCCTAGCTGACACCTGGGGGAAGACAGGGAAAAGCCCCTGGGAGGGTGGTTTCAGGCCTCAGCACCTTGCCATGGCTTCGCAGTGTGTCACTATGGTTACACTGAGCCAAGTCCCAGAATTCCCTGTCCAGCATGTGTCTGGCTGCAGCAGGTCCCCGGGGACACTCTCGTGAGAGTTGGGCAGTGGCAGTCATTTTGAGCATCACACACAGCTTTCCCAATTGTCCAATCAAATGCTCACCCTCAAGCTGTTGGGAGGAGATGCGGTGACACCCTAACCAGCTGGATTTAAGTGGGCGGAGGGGCCATTATCCCACCTGTGCCCCACTTACTCAGTTGGAAGGCATTTTAAAAAGGCTTAGTCCTTCCTCAAACACAGAAACTCCACAGAGCAGCTGTGACTGCCACTGCTGGCCCACCCTGGGTGCTGCTGGCTGTCACCCGTGGGCCTTGCCCTCCCAGCTCGGTGATCTTTTCTCCTGGGTGTAGTGTGCATCTCATATTATATAAGCATTTGTAGTATACATACCTGTATGTTACGTGTATTTGTAGCAAATCTACGTATAATATAGAATCACGGTCCTTCTATTCCAATTAAACTTTTTGTAAGTTTGGTATCAGGAACTGGGGTGGGGGGCTATCCTAACAAGTACCTAGAATGTGGGGGCAACTTGGGGCTGGGCAGCAGGGCAGAGGCTGGGAGGATCTGAGTTGCCCGCTGCTGTGTCCCTGTGAGTGGAAGGCCCACAGAAGCAGGCTGTGAAAGGTGCCCCGCGGAGAACCCTATGAGGAGTGAGACTGTGGGCAGGAACCTGAGGAGGGGCTCCCATGAGGCAGGGCAAGAAGTTCAATGGGATCAGCCACAGGGGTCGGAACTTAGGGGGATGAGGTTGGTTCTGTAGATGAGGGTGTTTGTGAGTTAAAGTGATCACCTGGCTTCTTCTTGTTTTTTGTTGTAAAACAAGGAGGAGGGGGACAAATTGAAGAACCAAGAAACAAAAAGAAACCAGTACCTGCTGTTTCTAAAATCCTTAGCCTTGACAGGTGAGGCTAAGGACACTGCACTTAAGAGATGTCCAGCTGAGCAGGAGGACAAGCCTGCAGCAGCCCTCCAGCTTTGTGGAGTGACTTCTGCCAACAAGTTATTGAGCACCTGACTTGGATGGGACCCTGGTCCTGGCCACACCTCAGTTTCAGCCACGTGAGATACCAAGCAGAGGACCCAGTGAAACTGTACTCTGATCCAGACCCGTGAAAACTCTGAGAAATGAAAGTCTTTCATTTTAGCCATTACATTTGTGACAGTTTGTTGCAGAGAAATAGAAAACAACTATTGCACCTTATGATATCACAGGTTTTATACACTGAGCAAAGAATAAATAAGCCAAAGCTTAAGTCCTCTAAGTATAATTTTGACACTCATAAGAAGCAAGAAGTATTTTGCAACAATGTGGACGTCATTATCTTGGGAAAGTAATATGGAGTAACCCACATTTCCTGAATGCTATCAGCAGAAACTGAATCTGTGAGGATAGCCACTGTATCTGCAGGGATGATTGTGCAGCACCAGGAATGCAGTTTTTCCAGTGATGGAATGTTCTGGAAGCACATTGCTGCTGAGTCCCCTGTTTCAGGTAGTGACTGGTCAGAGAGGTTTGGGCCCTGGCTAGGGGCAGCACTCACCTATGTTTGACCCAAGTGTCAGACTCGTAGGCTCTTTCCGTGTAGTTCTCTGGCAGGAAGCCCCGGCAGCCCGTCCGCTGGGAGGTCCCGATGGCCCAGCCCTCGCTGGCTTCCTCCTGCTGAGTGGGGTCCACAAAGATGTAGTCGCCAGGACTGAGCATCAGCTCGTCCACGTTCTGGGGCTTGTACTGGAACAGGACCTTCAGGGTCTAGAAAGGAGGGAAGTGGTTTCGTGTTTCCCGCCAGGGTTTGCACTGGGAAGCAACAGCACTAGGAGGAGTGGTATATTCCACATCTTGCTTTCTGGGTCCCTGATGTGTTCTGTGTCTCCAAGATGCCACCAGGCCTCTAATGAATCCAGCATAGAATATCGCAAAATACAGCAGCGCAGAATTCTTTGGGTAGATTTAGAAATAAAATTTTTCTTTTCTGCCTTCCTTGCTTGCTTGTTGCCTCTTCCTTCCATCCACCCATCTATCCTTTCATCTATCCATCCATCATCCATCCATCCATCCATTCATCCATCATCCATCATCTATCCATCCATCCATTTATCCATCACCCATCATCCATCCACTCACTCATCATTCATGTATCCATCATCCATCATCTATCCATCCACTCATTCATCCATCATCTATCCATCCATCCATTTATCCATCATCCATCCATCTATTATCCATCCACTCATTTATCATCCATCTATCCAACATCCATCATCCATCCATCAATCTTCCATCCACTCATCCATGATCCATCTATCCATCATCCATCATCTATCCATCATCCATCCATCATCCATCCATCCATCATCCATCCACTCATCCATTATCCATTCATCCATTATCCATCCATCCATCATCCATCTATCCATCATCCATCTATCCATCATCCACTTGCTTGTCATTCACAGCTTCTCCTGGGACAGGAGCATGGTGGACTCCCACAAGGGTTTGGACTGGGAAGCAACATCACGCTCATTCCCTGGCTCTGGAAGGAATGACACACACTTTCTTCCCAAACCAATCAATTCACAGAGGGGAAAGCCTTGGAATGAGGCTCCACTCCATCACTACATGAAATGATCTGATAAGCAAAACCTGCGTTCGTACGTTTTTACAACAGTCCTTTCCAGATACTGTCAGCAATGCAGGATTTTGTCTTGATTTTTTTGCACATTTGTAGCTCACATCTTAACAGGTTGGTTCTGAACGGCAAGAGTTTCAGAGGAGGAACAGCAGTCCTCTCCCACTCTAGAAAGGGCTCCCCATGGAAGTGCTGTGGGGAAGGAGGTCATTGGTCCATTTGTCTCCTGTGGAGGGGGTCATGTCCAGCCACACTCCTGGGTCACAGTTGTCTCACCTGGTAGTGCACAAAGCGCATGTCCCGGGAGTACAGGGCCGCCGTCCACTGGCAGCTGTGGCCAGGGTGGATGGCTCTAGCCAGCTCCTCCAGCGTCCTCTGGTGGTGGGGGTAGAACTTGTGGGCCAGGGTCAGATGCAGCTGCTTGGTACAAGCCTTCACGGAGCAGTCTGGGAAATCAGGAACAGGGGCAGGCGGTTACCTAAGCAGCCAGCGCCACGTGCCCAAGACCAGGAAGCGCCTCTACACAGAGCACCTCCCGCCTCTGCCCACCCTCCATCTCTGTGCTGGTGCCCCCGCAGCAAGGTGGGACAGGCCCTCATTGGCACCTGAGTGACGTTGTAGGGAAGGGGTTGGAAACCTGTAGGATTTTCAAGAAGGAAGGAGAGGAGGAGGTATAGAGAGATGGTTAAGGGGTCAAGGCCATCAGTTGGCAAGCGGATTGCCCAAACAAAGGGCTTCAACTCTCAGGACTGGCTCTGGGCTCCTGTTGTGCAGGTGACTCAGCAGACTCTGGGGCCCCAGCTGCAGTTCAAGGGCTTTTTGTTCCATGGAAGAGTTTTAGGAAGAAACTTGATCTGCAGAACTGGGAAGCATCAGGGTCTCCACATTCTCCTTGCTTTAGCCACACAGGAAGCCCAGGGAGTGGTCGAGCTGCAGGCCTATCCAGGTGGCCTCTGCCCTCCAGGCCCCCTTCTGGAGCAGCCTGTATCCTATGGCAGCTTGGCCACAAAGTGCTGGACATTCTGGGGCAGCTGTTAGTGTCCTGTGGGGATGACACAGACTTTGCTATTGGATGGGCCCAAGTTGAGGCCCCTCTGCCCTCTCGGCAGGGTGACCGTGGTCAGGTGTGGTGTCCTGACTCAGTTTCCAGCAGTGACAGACAGCCGTGATGGGAGGACAGAGCTGGCTCTGGGGCGGTGCTGGGCAACCAGCCCACCAGCTCAGTCTCCTGTGGGCCCTGAGTACCTGGTGGCCACCTGCCACAAAGGTCACTTACAATCAGGCAGGTTTGGTTGTTCCCCTAAGAGGACACAGAGCCTTCCAGGGAGCCCTGGCCTGGCCCAGACAGGCCCTGCATGCCACAGGTGCTCCCTGAGCAGCGCACGAGGCCTCTAAGCCGGAGCTGCTGAGCTGAGTGGCCGAGCGGGCGAGTGTGGGTGGAGGGAAATTCCTCTTCTGACCCGTTTTCAGCAGCAGGGAGGGTGGCTTGCCACATGAGTCAGCCTGGCCCGGGAAAGACCCAGCCTGCTGTCATCAGGACACGAGAGAGAGTCACGAGGCTTGTGAATGGGCCCTTGTCTTTCCTCTCCGAGGCCCAGGTCTGGGGCTGTGTCTTGCTGGGATGGCCAGCGTGGGCCTCCCACACTGCCCTGAGAAGGACTAGGGACACTCCTGAACCGTAATTGGCCACTCGTCAGCAAGGGAGGCCCCTCCTAGCCCTCTCAGGGTTAGGCTGAGAGCATGGCTGTGGAGAGCAGGGCAGGGCTGGGTCAGGGTCAGGAGATGGACGTGAGGCTCCAGCCGGCTCTGTCCGCATGGTCCCCTGGTGGTGTGGAGCAAGGCAGAGCCACTAGCACTGGTCAGCTCTGTGAGCTTCCTGTGGCGGCTGTGAGGGGTCGCCACAGACCTGGCAGCTGAAGGCAACAGAAATGCATCCTCTTGCAGTTCTGGAGTCCAGAAGCTGCCAGGGCTGTACTCCCTCTGAAGGGCCCAGGGAGGACCTGCCCGCCTCCTGTGGCCTCTGGTTACATCATGCCCTTCTCTGCCTCTGTTGTCACAGGGCTGCTCTGCACATCTCTTGGTGTCTTCTTCTCTTGGTGTCAGGACACCGGTTGTTGCTCTGAGAGTCCACCCTGGTCCAGGGTGACCGTGTCTGAACTAATTACATCTTGACGGAGCCCATTTCCAAATAAGGTCCCATTCTGAGGTTTCTGGTGGACGTGGCTTTTCAGGGACACTACTCAACCCAGGTCAGTGACGTTGGGCAGGCATTTTACCCTTAGTGGCCTCAGTCTCCCCGTCACAATGCAGCTCATGAGGCCCACCTAGGGGTAGGGAGAGCAGGGGAACCCCTGGGCCTGTCTGAGGACAGTGACAGGCTGCCTGGGTGCAGGAAGGACCAGCTGTCCTCTGCAGGAGAGGGCACTGAAGGGCCAGCACTGACGGGAGTCTCACCAGCCAGGTCCCGGTGCACAAGGCCGGGCCTCCTACCTGCCAAGACGGATGCTTCCGTGGCGAACGCCATGGCAAATTCCCGGATGACGTCTGCGGGGCCGTCGTTGATGAAGAAGCCCAGGTAGCTGACGGACGAGTGGAGAGCCAGCGGGACCGAGGTGGGGAAGGACCTCAGGGTCCTGTCCCCGGCTCTCTTCAGAGCTTCGTACAGACACTCCACCTTCTGGTCTTCACACTGGGGGAGACAGACAGGGAACCCATGTCCTCAGCTCCTGCCAGGGAGCATCGACCGTCACCTAACAAGAATCCTGCTGCAACCAGCAGGGGACCCCGTTCTGTCCAAAGCCGTGAGGGAGGCCGCCTGCATCCCTGTGCATCTGGCCTGTGGGTTTGCCCATGCCTCGTGCTCATGGGTTTTGAAAAAAGGTGTTTCAGGTAAAATCTTTTCTTGGAATGAAATCTCCTTCAGGTGGCCAGGCGGGAAGTTCCTGGTCACTTCTGCCCTTCCCCTGCTGTACCCCCGGCCCCAGGTTTTCTCAGGTTGTGTGAGTCGGTTTCTGGAGGGTTCCAGCCAACTTCGAGGCAGTCTGGTGGGGGGCACTGCTCAGCCCACCCAGAGGGGATGGGGCTGGCGGGCCCTGGGGTTTAGTTCTGGGTCCTCGGACTCCCCAGAGGCTCCGGCACACCAGAATGTGCCTGGCAGACGCTTTGGAGGCACGCTTCAGGAGGTACCCCTGCAGGGAACAAGGGGCCCATCTCCCCTTCCTCTGGGGAAGTGGTGACCAGGGGAGGGGGCTGCCTGTCCCTCCCTGTTCCTCCCAGCCTTCCTTCTCTCTCTAGCAGCCCCCAGGTCCCTCTCACCTCCCTGGTACCCTGTGATGATGACTCTTGGTCTTTTTCTAAATCAGAGGGCTGAGCTGTGAGCCAGGGAAAGCTTGACGTTGGTGGCTTGTTGACAAACACCCGTTCCTCAGCCCATTTGCCACTTATTAGGAAGCCCTGACTCTGGCCTGGGCACTGGGCTGGTCTCTGGGTACCTGGCGCTCCCTGGGGGGCTCAGCCTGGGAAGGTGCAGCCCACACCTAACAGGACACGAAAATGCCACTAGATTTACAGATAGGAAGACGGGGTGGCGTGGGGGCAGCGCCTCCTTCTGCCTGGGGAGAGGAAGA